GACAAATAAAATAAAAAATATAAAAAAGTCACACTTTTTTCACTCAAATTGTTTTATATCTATCACTCAATTGGCTCTCTCTCTCTCTCTCTCTCTCTCTCTCTCTCTCTCTCTCTCTCTCTCTCTTTCACTAACTATCCGTACTATCCATGAAAAATAATACAACAATTTGTGATTATATTTAACTCTTGTTTTTTTATTGTTATTATAGGCCTTATCTAAAATACAAAACAAAAAAATCATTGTTTGATATCCATAGATAAATATCTCTTTCTTTTTATTATTATTTTCTTTTATTTTATTTATTTTTTTCGTCCAAAATAAATGTCATCTAAATAAGCCCTCAGTTTAGTTATGCTTTTTTGCACATTAATATATTATTGATAATTTAATATAAGCTAAAATACAATATTTTTGTTATATTTAAAAAAAATTATTTAAACTATTATATAAAATGTTTGGAAATAAAAATAAATTTTTCATTTTATTTCGCAAAAAAATAAATTAGTTTTTTTAAAAAAAATTAATTTCGAAATTTTATCAATAATTTAATTATATAAATACCTGTATATATATTTTGTCTATAATTTAAATATATTGAAAATAGTATATATATATAWATGTACATATATTGATAAATTTATTTTCCAACTAAATAAATAAATCATATATTATATATATGATGATAATAATTTTATTTTTACTTTAATGTGTGCATATTTCTCATAGGAAATTGAAATATATAATACATATGCTATTATATAAATATACAGTTAAGATACTGTACACTACCCATAGTAGTAGTAGTAGTAATAGTAGTAGTAGTAGTAGTAGTAGTAGTAGTAGTAGTAGTAGTAGTAGTAGTAGTAGTACTCAAAAAAAAGGTTTTTTACAACAAAAAAATGTTTATTTTTAACGGTTTATTCAAGTATTAAACAAACCATTGAATTTTTAATTCAATTTTATGTATTGATTTTTTGTTGGTTTTAAAAAATAAGGTAAACTATATTTTGAAACTTTTATATATACATAAAACATTTATACATAAAACATGAGTTTTTTTAAAAAAAAATTGAAAGATTTTGTTTTATCAAAAAAATAAAATTAAGTTTATTTTATAAATTATATATTTATATATAACTTCTGTATTTATAATATTTATTTATATCTTATATTTTATTTAAAAATACATTTTCTAACCATTTATTTGATTGATGTATTTGTTGTTTGTAAGATTTTTTATATATATATATTATTTTTCAATGTCATAATTTTTTTAATATTAAATATTATCTATTAATCATTTCTAACATATTTTTTTGATGATAATTACATGTAATTATAAGTTTTATTATATATATATATATGAAAAAATACACTCATATCTCAATTATTGCATTTTTGTTTTAAAAAATATGACAATTAATTTAATAAATAAAACAAAATTATTTGATTTGATTTTATCATTTAGTTATATTTATAAAAATATATTCATTAAAATTGCTTAATAAATGATTTATTTTTTTTGAAAGTATAAAATCAAATATCATTGAAATTGTAAAACATTTATATTTAAGTTTATTTGTTTGTTTGGGTAAATAAATGTCAATGATTTACAATATAGAGATTTTTCAATTTGATTAGTTTGTCACAAAAAAAAAATAAAAATTATTTACTAAATTTTTATTTCCTGTAATTTATTTTTTTCTCACTGATGGTGTTGTTGTTGACAAAAAAATCCTATCAAATAAATAATCAATAGATATTCAATATATATATATACAGTATATAATCGCATCCTATTTTTTAAACTATTGATTGAATGCAATTTGAATTCAATTGAAATTTTCATGTAATAAATATAAATAAATCATATGTACTATACTATCAATATAATGATTTATATAAAAAAACAATATTTAAGTGTCTCCTATAAATGATTACTAATTTATTGATATATCATATGTGTTATAATGAAATAAAAAATTATTACTAAAAATAGATTCAATTCAACAACAAAAAAATTGTTAAAATGTTTGCATATATCTAATGAAATAGAAAGTCAAATATTATATATATATATATAAATTATATTTGGGAAAAATATTTGAACAAAATTAGCACTATTTTTTTGTTKTTGCTGAAAATGTYAAAAAATTAGCTGCATATATAATTGTAAATAAATATTAATTACTTACATAATATTTTAAAAAATATTTGATTATAATATTTAATTTTTTTCAAAATTAACATATTAYTTTAATTAAATTGAATTTATTATAACATTATACATTATTACTATATATATATATAGTATATATAAAACAAGCTAGCTAATAAATAAAAAATATATATTTATTGCTCAAATTGCTAATTAAATAACATTATATATATATATATATATATATTATGTAATTGAAGTAATTTGTTATTAGTTTTGTTGGTAATTAAAGAGTTCAAGTATAAGGTATTAWATATATATATGAGAAACAAACAAACAAACATTTAATTGCTATAATCTATGTATAGATTATTTAGGGTATTAAACGATTTAAGATTTTATTTATACGATATTATATAATATTAGTAATACAGTATAATATCAATATAATGTTTGGGTTGTAATTTTGAACAACAACAACAAAATAAGTTAGATTTTGTTGACTGATAGGCTCCGGGATTATACCTTGATTATACTAAGATTATAGTTTAATGTTTTATATATATATAATGTTATATATTGGTAGACACACACACACACAYACACACACATACATACACACACATACATACACATACACATACACATACACATACACATACACATACACATACATACACATACACATACACATACACATACACATACACATACACATACACATACACACACATACACATACACATACACATACACATACACATACACACACACACACACATACACATACACATACATACACATACACATACACATACACATACACAYACACACATACACATACACATACATACATATACATTGTATTAATTTATAAAATATTTATAWTATATATATATATATATTATAAATAATTAAATACCCGGGCATTTAATACCTGTCCATTTAAATCGATTATTATTATTTTTATATTAGTATATAAGTATTAATACATAGAAATATATTGTCCACTTGATTTTAATATATTCATATTAAATATATTTAATCTCTATTACTGTCTATGTACTGTATTAATAATTAATAATTTATTGATATTGTATTCAATAAAATATTATATTTTGATAAATATTGTTAAACATTATTTTTTTATTTCTATAGAAAAAAMACAAATTAAAGAATAATAATAATAAATTAGATTTTAATAATATATTAACATATTTTACTTTTGTTTTTTAAATATAATAAAAGCATTTTTTCTATTATACTATTGACTTATATAGAGAAAAAACTATGGATTTGYTAAATAAATAATTTTTTTTATTAAATTATCAAAATTGCGAAATATTCTCCAAAATTTGGAAAATAAAGTTTATATAATATCACATTTTRAAATATATAAATATTATTATTATTATTATACAAATAAACATTTTTTTAGATATTATATTACGAAACACTTCAAATAATTTTTTTAAATAYAAAAATTTTATTATATAAATAAAAGATTTGTTGGATATTATAATTTGCTTTTTAAATATTCAATTTTATTAAAAATATATATTAATGTTTGATTAAATTAATTAATTGTTTTAAAAAATTATTTATTACTATCAAAATTATTATCATTTTACTTTCAATTAATTTATTATAGATTTAAAATTAAACATTTATATTAATATTATAAATAAATTATTATATAATAGTAATATTAATTACAGATTACAAACTGTAATTTAGAAATTATTAAATTTTTCAATTAAATAAATATAATTTTATCAATAATTTTTTATAGCCGTTATGTATATCCAATTTTATTATAGATTTATACAATTAATACATTGATTATAATTAAAAATTTATTTGCAATTTTACTAAATTTATTACTAAATATTGTATTAATAATTTGTTCATTAATTGTTAATAAATAAACTGAAATATATTGTTAACATAAAGTATTTTTAAACAATAGTTATTTCTAAGTTAATCTGATTATAATTAATATACATATATTATAACTATATTTAACTATTAATATAATATATATATATCAATGAATTATTATTTAATAGATAACATATTTTTAATATATAATTTATCTTATTTTGTAAGTACTATATAAATATTTTGTATATTTATATAAAAAAAAATAAATTCAAATAAACAATTTTGTTTGACATTTGATAATTTGCTTACAGCTATAGCTAAAATAAACTTTAATTTCACTCACCAATAGGTTATTGGTTATTATTATTATTATTATTATTACTAAAATTTTTATTTATTTTTATATTGTAGGCGTAAGTTATATATACTGTGTACAGTAGTTTACATTTAATAACATACAACTAAAATTTTATCAGAAAATAATAATCTTAAACTTAATCTAAAACATTAGATATTAGATTTTGCTTTTAAATATTTATAACTAAATTTTATTTTTTTTTAAATTTAATGCAATAATTTAATCAAACATATATCTAAAAAAAATTCATTAGTACAGGTATACTGTATTTAAAAATTAATTTTTCAATAAAACAACATAATTTTTTTATGAATAATATGCATAAAATTCAAACAAAAAGTTTTTTTTAAAAAAATACTCAAAAAAKATCATTTTGTATACCTGTATATGTTATATATAAATATATATAAATAATTAATAATAATAATTAATTATAATAATATAATAATTTATAAATATATAAATTATATAACCGAAGTCTATAACAATTTTTTTGTAATAAAAATTACTTAAAAAAGTTTATATAATATTAAATAAATTTACTAAAAGTTTTTTTTTTAATAATTTTTAAATATMTATTTTTGTGTGTATCCATAGATACTTTGCTATAATACATCCATTGAAAAGTCGTATAAATAAAAGCAAATCGCGTACATTCAAGATAATATTTATGACTTATTTGATACCATCGGTGGCTGCCCTACCGTTCCTCTATCCCGACTATAAGGCCACACCGTTTACATTCTACAGTTCCTACGGAACCATTTCCCGATTGTCTTGTTTGGCCAATTTTGATCCACAGTTTCGCAAAATCTACTATACATTCCTGTTTATAACATTTTATTTGATACCATTACTGATCATTGGTTGGACCTGTTTTTGTATCGCCCGATCACTATTGAGGATAACTGGCCTCAACAGACAGGGAAGTCTACGGAGACAAGAAGTTAATAGACGAAAGGTATTGTATTTTTTAAATTATTTATTTAATATAATATATATAATACTATAGTTTGTTATAATTGTTATGTAAATTATATTAATATTTTAAAATATGGTATAAATATTATTGTCTGTGTAATGTTGTAAACAATTGATATTATTTATATACAGTATTACTATTATTATATATAAATAAAATACAGGAGATATCTATAAAAAAATTGGCAATTCTAACCATAACAACAAATTGATAACATATTTAAAAATCAATATAACTTATATATAGATATCTGTTTTTTTAAATAGTTTATCTGATTATATATGTATATATATATATATATATATATATATATATATATATATATATATATATAGATTATAATATCAATATCACATTAACCCAGAATCAAAATTGAATAATAATTTAGTTTTATTGAATTATTATTCAATTTTTTTGTGAGTGTCATTCAATGTTTAAGATTTTATTTTCTGTGTATAAAATTTTAACCAAAAATAAAAAACAAAACAAACAAAAATCAATTTTACTGAATGTTTTAAGCAACTTTAATGCCAATAGATTTTTATTTATTTTGCCATAAGTTTAATAACACAATAAATTATAYTGATATATAAATAATTATTATTATTTTTTAGAAAATCAATTTTTAATCAATTAATACAGTATAATACAGTAAATTTGTTTTTAACAAAAATAAAATAATAAACATTAATTAAATTTAAAAGCGTAAAATCTAATTAACAATATATAAGACAAATGTAAACACATTTATTATAGCCATATATCAATAAATAAATTTAAAACCAAGATTTTAGTACAAAAATCTACAGATAATGTAAAACAATGAGAATTTTTGTTTAAATAATGTATTAATTTTTCAACAAAAAAAAGTATTTATTATTATTACATAATATATATAATATAGATATTCTTGTATTAAAAATGTTACCTTTATTTACATTTACTTAAAAATATGGCATAAATTATTAAAATTTTGTTTATATAATTGTCAACAATTTACTGTATAAAATCATAAATTATATTATCATATTAAGTAATTTATATTATTATTATTATATATTATTTAAGTAATACCAGATATGCTTATATTATAGTACAGTATATATATAGTAAAGTGTATGTCTATTGATTTATTAGCAAAACATTTTAACACATAGAATATATACTGATATACAGTATATAAARTAACTTAAATATAAAATTAAATKAAATAAATTAATTTTATCAATTTATATCATAGTAATAATAATAATAATAAATATAGATTACATTAACTTTTAATATATATATATATATATATATATATATATACATTTATCATATAATAAAATCATTTAGATTTATTTGATGATAAWTAAAAATCATTGATTATTGACTATTATTATTATTATTATTATTATTCTAATTAATCAATTTATTATTTATATTTTTTTCTCTCTCAATTAYWTGGTGGGGTAACCACATCGTATAGATTGGCCAAATGATATTGATAGTAGTACTGGCCTATACAATATCGTGGACACCCTATTTYATTGTATCCATAATAACCCAGTATCAAAAAGTCAATTTCATGCACAAACATAACTTTTATTTTACAATGTTATCMATWAATTTGTTTGCATTTCTAAACTCTGGTATCAATCCGTTTATTTATGCCATTATGAGTACCCGATTTCGTAATGGTTTTATGAAAATTTTACGATTGATTTTATGTTTCAATGAATTATCAAAAACCAATAATAACAACAGTCAGGATCAGCACATTATCATCAATGGTGGTAAGTCTAAGACATTATTATTATTTATTTTTATTTTTTTGATGATAATATACAATTTAAAGATTTAGTTCAACAATTTTAAATAAAATAAAATTAGTTATCAAATATTATTTTATCTCATATTTTATTTCAATATAAAATTAAATCTTAATATTAAAATATATAAGTTTATATAAATAATATATATATAT